ACCTCGTCTTTTAAATTACAGTTACTTTTCTCCTTACAAAAATATTGCATTGAATTAATGAATGTGTTAGCTGCATGTTTCGTGTTCAGCCTTATTATGCAGCGACTGCTCGGGTCGACTTTTGTCTAGTTCCTTATCTAATATGGCGATAAGGAGCTGCTTTGGCTCGTATTCTATTATCTTAACAAATACTGAAATAAAAGTTACGTCGGTTAGGCCGTCAACACTCATGACAACAGATAACAGTTAGTGCTATTACGCAAGCTTTTCTAGCTATAGCTATATACCATCATTTGATAGTGAAGCTTGTACTCTCGGCAAGTTAGCGAACTGTAAAACCTCGAAAATGAGCAAAAGAACTTATGCTGAAGTGTTATCTGGAAGTGGTAAGTTGATTTATGCAGTTGTTAAACGGCTCCAAATTTCATAAAAACACTTCTTAGTCCTCCGATGTGTTTTGTTAAMAGGGACATCGGAATCCGAATCAGAGAAGGAGCTCAGGTATGTGATGTTCATTAGTATCAAATAGTAGTGACAATGAATGGAGTGACATTKAATGAATGAATAGCGGTTTTAATTCACCACATATTTTCTTTTTTCGTCTAGTTCTTCAATACCTCCTGTACAGCAGCGACGGCGTAGTAAGTCAACAAGCCGCAAGGATGGAGGTAATTTTGACTTTTTTTTTGCTTTTGCGATAAAGACACGCGCACTCACATTTATTTATTTTAGGGAGATTGTGGCGGAAAGCAATAAATAAAGAGTTATCGTCCAAGAGAAAGAAGTAAGTCGACTCCCATATATCGTTGATTTAGCTGATGGCATACCTTGCGTGGTTTGATTAAGAATTTTGTAAAAATGGTTTATCTGACTTATTTATTTATTATTATTTTTTTAGTGTAGCAGAACGAAAGTCGGAAATCGTCATTGAAATATCTTCAAGCCCTGAAGTCAGTCCTCAGAAATGCAGGTAAAGTAGTTGAGTATAATATTTTTTTTGCCACTCCTTGACCCTAAAGAGTATGTCTACTTGAGTAATACCAGAGTAATACATTTATTTTTATATTTCAGCAAAGAGCAAGTTATTATATCTAGTGGCTCGGAATGTGGATCCCCATCCAAAAAAAGGCTCCCATCATTGTAAGTACAAAGTACATGTAAAATGATTGGCTACATGATTATATTGTAATACGTCTTGTGTTGAACGTCAAAAAGTGTGTTCGTTTTTTCAGAGCATATGGCGGATGTATTGGTGAATTGCGTAAACCACAATCACCACAGCTACACCCAAGAGGATTGAAGGTACATCGAAAATCTTGATATCTATTTTTAATTTAGTCGTCATTCTAATACACTATCCATGACGATCTACACACACAGCATGAAAGTAAAGGTGACCGTCCAAAAATACCATTTTCACTGGAGAAAGGGCACAAGAATAAATCAAACATTGATCTGGAAACAGAGTAAGTAGTCATAGCTGATTTTTCTATTACACAGTCTTTCAATAACAACAACAACAATAATTRTTATTATTATAATTATAATAATTCAAATATCTGCCTGATGAGTGCGCAAGCACAAAACTCAGAGCTGCAACGAACCGCGTTCCTTTTTATCTAATCACTACAATTATATACCGCTCTACACATATGTGTATCGAGCACTTTTCAAMGGTGTTTTGCTACTAATAATTATTATTAATAATTCAARTATTTATTTCTTTTATAATTTTTTTATTTATTTACCTATTTATTTACTAGTATTTATTCTTCCAGTGGAAATTGTAACAGTTAAATATTTACTTTAAAAGTCTAAGGAATAAGGTTTATTCACGGTGACAATTTGTAAGCAACAATAATTTTTCTATGAAATAAAAAGATAATAATAATAATAATAATAAAAACAATATGATAATTGAATTAAAAATTAAAATGCTTTCTTTGTAGGTCAGAAACTGACGAGACGTCATCATCGGACAGCGAAACGTCCGACGAATCCGGCCCGGAAGAAAACCTACCCCCTATAAAGAAATTTCTCCACGATGATCCGAGACTTCCTGTTTACGAATGGGGGCTTACCCGTAACAAGGGTATGGAGGAAATTGCAAAACTCTTGCTATTAGAGCTCGAAGATATAGCGTCCATAAGCGTCGCAAGCGGTGTTCCCACAAACGTAAATAGGAACACAGCGTTTGTAATTGACACTAGCCACCTTGACAATATCGATGATTTGAAATGTGACGAGCTTGGTTCGTGGACTGCTACAGGTGTGAAAACGGTAACATTTAAGAAAAAACACAATAAAGTTTTGAAGACGAATGCACAACCTAAAAACAATAGATATAAATTTACCCGACGCTATTTTATGAATGACAGTTTAAAGTCCCTAAAGAAGGCAATAACAACTGCCGAGGACTGCAAAAAAAACGTTCCACATCGATTTGCTTTTGTGCAATATATTTTTGCCGAAGGAGAACAAACCGTTAATGTTCTGCCCCATGGKAATAGCCGAAAATCCAACAAGCCATATAAGAGAACGATGAAGAGTACGCTAGAAAAAATAAAAGATGATGTGCAAAAGTGTGTGGATCCAAGAAAGGTCATACATAATATCATAAAAAGTAAGGGTGGGATCGAACAATTACGGTCGGGTGGCGAGTTGCCTAGAAATCGAAAACAAGTCTACAATGCTGTGCAGGCGGCCACAAGAGATAACAAAATTCCTGATCCCTTAGAATACTTAATGAAAAAAAGCAAGGAGGAGCTTATGGACGAGAATACGGCATTCATTCGAACAGTTCAAAGTACACCCGAACCACTTATTTTCCTGTCAACGAAACACCAACTTCTAGATATTGAAAGGTTCTGTACCAATCCGGAAAACTTTTGTGTTTTGGGCGTGGATGCCACATTCGAACTCTGTGATTATTACTTAACATTTGCCACGTACCGAAATCAAATGCTGGAAACTAAAAATGGCAAACATCCTGCCCTAGTCGGCCCAGCTATTTTACACAAGAAGAAGTTGGAACGTTCATACACTGTTTTGCCTGCAGAAATGTGTCGGTGGCATCCACCTTGCGCAGGTGTATTGGTAGTTGGAACTGACGGAGAAGAAAATTTGGTGAACGGTTTGCGAAATGTTTTTCGCAGCGCTGAACACCTGCGCTGTGATATTCACATGAGGGACAACATCAAGTCTAAGCTCTCGTCCCTGGGAATTCCTCAAACCATCGCCAAAGAATATCTAGACGACATTTTTGGGCGTGGCAATGAGGCTGGCCTGATCCACTGCTTATCGGCGGAAGAATTCGATGGAGCCCTAGAACGATTAAAGACAGCGTGGGAATCACGCCATTCAAAGGGGAAAGACTTTGTCGCCTATTTTGTGGCAAAGAAGGCCTTAGATATAAAAGAAACAATGAGGGCGGAAATCAGATCAATGTGTGGATTGGGGTACCCACCCGACGTGTACACCCAAAATGCAAGTGAGTCGATGAACAGGGTTTTAAAAGAAGAAGATAAAGACGATCCCACAACCCGGAGAATGAGAAAAAATGTTTGTGACATTGTAGAAAGAGTAAGAAAGGTAGTGGAAAGGCAGGAGAACGAACAGTTCCTTGCKGTCATAGGTAGGGGAGAATACCAGATTTGCGATAATTATAAATTTCTTGAAGTGGGAGACAAGTATTTTCAAATGAACGATAAACAAAAGCAAGAAGTCAGGAGAAAGTTTTTTAGCTCTTCACTCTCAAAAGAAAATGCCGGGCATGAACAAGCAAATAAAAACGACTCTGTGGACGATCACAATCATCTATCTATTGTGCCAGAGAAAAGCGAAATCATTTCCGTACCTTTCATAGTTCTAAAAGAAATGTTTAATAACGCATCAAAGTTGATAAAATCAAGTTCGGGTATTGTGAAAGCGCCACAAGTACAAACTTCGACGACCATTGCAAACAAAGAAGAGTTATGGTTTGTGGCATCTCAAGCAAATCCAAACAGGCCACATCAAATACAA